AGGTTTAGTCAACTTTCACGACCAGAGCTCGCTCTTCTTTTGGGCGAATGCTCCTAACCACCCCAACTCCTCTTTTATTTTGGGAACATCTATTAATACCACTACTTATTGGAAGCACAGGGATGACATTTCACTTAAATAACATATTATATTAAAAGCCAAAAAAAGTGCCTGACACATAGTGGTAGCTCAATACATTCTGTTAAAATTTGATGAATGAGTGAATGAGCAAATGAGTTAAAGAAAGAAATGTGGGTTTGGTACACACTTAAGAACATAAACTACAATATAAAAAACAGACAAATGTTGTTTGAATATAGTGAAATGTAAAGGCAATTTTCACTCATGAACATGCTTGTGTCTGTTGACTATACATTTAAAAGGGTGATTACATATCTAAGATTAACACATTTCTGTAAGCTGCTTTAAACATTGGCAAAATTTAAAATATCATACAAAATTTTCAGATTTCAAAACAATACCATTCTCTCACACTAGTTCAGTAATCGTGTCAGAGAAAGAGAAGGATAGGGAGTAGTAGGGAGGGGCAGTGGGAATTGAAATGATAGGGGAAAGCAAAACATCTAAAAGGGAAAACACCTACATGGAAAAAAGACCGTGAAGAGCAAATTGCTTAGGCTGTAACTTCAAGAAGAGTCCAAACTTGCTTTTTAAGTTTGAGATTTCTTGTTTATCCTGTTGCAATACTGTGATTTAGAAGAAAGATTTATTTGGTTTTCATCCACATTTCCTGGCCCAGAGCTCTCAAAACCCTCGGAATTTCCTAAGTGTTGAGGGTGACAAAGGTGTCCCCAGTTATTTTAATAAAGTGACATTCCACCTAAGAATGGGGGCTGATTGCCAGGAGAATCAAGAGAACATTCCATATGACTAAAGGGTTGGAACATTTAGTCCTACTACCCAACTTCTGGGGAGGGGAGAGAGGCTGGAGGTTGAATCAATCACCAATGGCCAGTGATTTAATCAATAATGCCTATGTAATGATACCTCCACAAAACCCCAAAAGGACTGAGTTGGTGAATGCCTGGAGATCTGGGGAGAGTGGTGTGCTCTGGGAGAGAACATGGAACTTCAAGTTCCTTCATTATACCTTGCCTTACACATCTCTTCCATCTGGCTCTCTCTGAGTTATATCCTTTTATAATAAATTAGTAATCTAGTAAGTAACATATTTCTCTGATTTCTGTGAGCTGCTCTAGCAAATTGACTGAAGTTGAGGAGGGGATCATGGGAACTGATTTAGAGTCAGTTGGTTAGAAATACAGGTAACAACATAAACTTGTGACTGGTCTCTCAAGTCGGGGGGGGGGGGGCGTTGTCACTGGAACCTCTAATCCATAGCCAGTTGGTCAGAAGCACAAGTAATAATTTGGGCTTTCAACTGGTGTCTGAAAAGGGGGAGGGGCAGTCTTGTGGGACTGAGCCCTAACAGGCGAAATCTAATGTTATTTCTGGGTAGACGGTGTCAGAACTCAGTTGAACTGCAGCATACCCTGCTGGTGTCTGAGAATTGCTTGTTGGAGTTGGGAAGCCTCCACACAGACACACATACACTCATTGCAGTTGGGTTCGGAAACTTAATTTACCTGTGCAAATCACATAATCAAGTCTTTACTATAGAAGTAACATCTCTTGCCTATAAATTACATGGATTTCTTTCACATATTCTGGTAGGTTGATTTTAATTATTGATGAATTGGTAAGATTTTATTATTATTATTATATAAGTAATATTCCACAGCTATTTGTATGATAAATACTATAAAACAAAGTGATTTTGTGAAGATGTACCACCTGCTGCCTGACTGCCTCACTGGTGACAGCAGGGTCCTTTTTGACTCAGATTCATCAAGGCTGGTAGCAACATGGGGGAGAACACTGGAGTTTGTATGCTAAGATAAGGACTAAGTCAGCAACAAGAAAGTCAATAAACAGAAATTCTGGAATTTGGGGGGGGGTGAGGCAGCAGAAACAGCCAGAGTCAAAGGCAAAAGCCAGAATTTTCCTCCACAAGGTTGTATTAATATTGCAAATCAATTAGTACAAAACAACCTTTTAATTTTGAAAATCAATGCCCCACCCCAGAGTTGATTCTTCAGAAATTGAGAAATTGTGGCTTGAAGAAGATGGGGTTTTCTGCTGACCATCTCATAGGAAAAAAATCTATTTGAAAATATCCCTTATATATAGTAGATAATGTTTTATGCTTTGTGCTTAAATTTTTAAATGAGATTTAAATCTGTCATAATTCCTCAAAAAGGATCCAAAAAATTTAAACTCTTTTTATTTCTACTGCAATAATTCAATTAATTTAATTACTTCAATGGTTCCCAATAGAAAACCCACTTATTAGAATAATAATAACCACCTACAAAGATATATTAAAAATACCTTTCAGAAAACTTACCCAAAACATTCTAATAAACAGGGAATTATCCTTTTAAAAAATGATGAATAGATATTGTTACTAGCTAACAGATTCTATAATTATCAGTAACTTATATTAAATTCATGAATAAAAATCTATTTATTTAAAAATCTGTTATTTCTCATGGGTTTAAAATATTTCTTACAGAGAACATAGGACTGCATCTGTATGGCATATCCCCTTCTCAGCTTATTGAATACATTTTATACAGTAAAATCACCATAAATAATATTTAATATATCCTACCCTATGCAGTTCAGTCTACAAAAAATAATATATACTGTTAATAATACAGATATTTTTAGAAGCTACAATTTTTTGGTGTAGCTAATTAGTCACTTCCTATAGCAATTGATTTAACCAAAACTTTTTAGAAGCTGTTGCTCAGTTGATCTAAAAATTTATTAAGAACAAATCTGTTTGGACTCACAGTATATAATTGAAAACTCCTTAGGCTATAATAATAGCTTTACTTCCTCCCCCCGTCAATATTGTAACTTCAAATAAATGGTTAAAAATGTAAAATTTGTTAGTATGTGACATTGTCATTAAAATGACTTTCTGGCCTCGTGATGATTCTGAATGCCATGTTCTTTATATCTCTAATCTTGTATACAATGATAATTTCTAAGGCCAATGGCTTTTCGAGTTATTCAAAACTAAGAATGTAAGACAACATAATGGTGCTTTCATTCACATATGGTAGGTAGCCTTAAGAGTTGCAAGTTGTGCACGGCGTGCAAAAAGTCGTAGAAAGATTCAGAATGTATGAAAACAGGAAAAATGTTTTGTGAGAGTGTTGGTATACGGATAATATTCTTTTTGACAGCAATGTCAAAATGGAGCAAAAAACAAAGATGTTTGTAATTTTAACCCAATGATGTTGCTCAAGAAAAAACTGAACCGATGAGAAGTTGACTGCATGAGGCTATTTCTAGCAGCACTGCTTAAAATAACAAATAATGAAAAACTATCCAGTGGTTAACAAGAGAAGAAGTACTGATTAAAATGATAACATCTGAAATAAAATTTATGATACAACAACCTTTAAAAATAAAAATAGACTAGGCAATAAACACAGAAAAGTTTACAATATAATGTTAATGGTTTTGACAATGTAATGACAATGACATAAATACATATTAATGTAAATAAGGATCGAGTGATCATATACAAAATGAAAATAGTTATTATTTATTAATTTTTAATCTTACTGATATGTCACTTTTAAATTAAAATACAATAGGGTTATTTATTGATCACAGGATTTCTTTTCTAAGTTCTAGTAGGTAGTGCTACTAAAGTCAGTTGGAACACTAAAATGACTGGTGGGTTTTATTCAAGTGATGAATTATAACTACTTTGGTGATTTACAGATACTTCAAAGTACCTTCCAAAAGGGTCTGAAATAAAAGGAAATGAGTTATGAAAATAAGAACGTCCAGCAGCATTGTTGCTTTTTTTTCTTTTCTCTTTCTTTCTTTCTTTCTTTCTTTCTTTCTTTCTTTCTTTCTTTCTTTCTTTCTTTCTTTCTTT